CGTGAATTCCGCATTGAATTCATGTAGGAAAGAAGCTTTCTGGAGGATTCAAGTCAAGGTGGAGATTTGTTGGTATGCCTTGAATCCTGAAGCGTAGAAGCTTCCTGGCGTTGATGAGTGCAGATGCATGCAGACTGCATTTGGGTTGATGCGTGCAGTTGCGTGTAGGCTGCACGATCAATCATACAGGCTGCAGGATTCAGCATGCAGCCTGCGTGATCAAGTATGCAGGATACTTGCAGCATGTTGAAGCTTACATGCTACGTCTTGAGGTTGCTTGTGTAAGTTTACACGCTGCATGTTGAAGCTTACAATCTGTTTGAGCAAATAGTTGAGTGCAACGTTCTGCATCCTAAAGCTGATGTCGAGATCTACATGCTATGTAAGTTGATGTGGACGACTACAGCCTGCATGAGCAATGTAGAAGTCTGCGTGCATTTGGGCCGCTATTTCTGCATGAAGGTTCTTACATGGGCCTAAGTGAGTGAGCCCAATTGCGATTAAGGTTAACTAGGGTTTATGCTATAAATAAATATGTTAACCTAAATTCTGATGTATTCTGAAATTTTCTGTCTCCGTAATAAAATCAGTCTCTTTTGTCTGTGGATGTAGCCAACGTATCGTTGGTGAACCACGTTAAATCTGTGTGTGATCTTTACGTTTATTGTTTTCTTCTTGCATCTGTTACAACACACTGCAATCAGAATTTGCAAAGCAAGATTCTGTATCCGACACATTTGCTTGAAAAACAACACAATGCAATTCATTGCATCAATAATCTGTGACACAGAGATGAGATTGCACTTGAGTTCCTTGACAAAAAGCACATGTGTCAAAGTTAACTTCTCCGTCAATGCCACACTTCCTTCTCTATCAGCAACCACAACATTTCCATTAGGCAGACCCACTAAACATGGTGAAACTTTATGCACATCAAACATACCACTTAACGTACCCGTCATATGGTGCGACGCACCACTATCAATAATCCACTCATCTGTATAGGTGTTATCACTCACACGATTTGCTATCTCTAATCTCGAATCAAACCATCGAACAAGCTTATGTCATTGATCTTTCTTGAGCCCTGCCACAGCCTGTGGATCAACCTGTGACGCCTCCGTGTGTGACACACGTTTTTCAGTGTGTGACACATGTTTCGTAGGTTTTCCATACTTCTCCAGCCACCAATCTGGATATCCATATACTTGATAACATGATCTCACATCATGACCATACTTCGAACAATAAGAACACTTAATTCCTTGACTCTGAAATCTCATATTTTCAAAAAACCGAGAAATTCCCAAGGTTTCTCCACCGAATAAATAAATCCCAAGCCCTTAAGGCTCTACAAAAATCCCGAACCTCGTCGGTCCAAGTTCACCAAAAACAAAAGAGCAAGACCTCGTCGATTTGCTTTTCCAATAAACCACGACTTATAAACAAGAATTTGAATCAAGAGCTAGACGAAAAATTTATAGAGCCTTAGACTCTGATTCAAGAGCTAGACCAAAACTTTATGTAGTCTTAGGCTCTGACACCATGTCAAAGTAATTTGCGGAAGTGATTTATTCATCAGCCTAAAGGCACATATATATATAAGTACATTAGTCGACCTTGAGTTAGAAACTAGCAATGTGGAACAAATTACTCTAATAATTCTAATAACTAACTATACAAGGTCTAATAAACCTAATATCTCCTAATATCTTTTAATAATTTTATTTCCATTTCTACATAGTGGTTAGATTTTCCTCGTAAACAGCAAATGTGTCAAATTATATGGCATTAGTTTTTCTAGCCTCTGTATAAAAATCAGTTTTTTTTAACTACATCTTTGAAAAGACTATTTTATTATCTTTCTTTAATCATTACAATTTTCAAATTTATAAAACTTTTACAAGATAAGTAGTAAAATATGATCATACATTTCAGAAACCAATTTTAGTACTAAACGTTGGAATACACTTGTGGAATGTGCGTTTCACGATCTAGCCATCAAGTCTCTGGAAAGGTACAGGAGCCGCATTTGAATAAATTTTTATCCACCATATAGTTTAGAACAACATCACCCATACAACGGGTCTTACATAAATAGCAAATCGGCCGAGAAAGACGATTAGTAGGAAGCAAATCAAATATTTTACCCTCAGAAAATGTTAAACTGGATCCAGGTCTTGGGTGTATTAGATCTTTGAATACACATTTAGTATGAAGAGTAGAGCCACAATCATCACATTTATAGAACCAACCTTTTGAATATATTTCCTTTTCGCATATCCCGCAACAATATAAAGAATTCACATTTTTCTCACCATAATATAAAGAGAGAGGATGGTCATCATATTTGTGTCTCACCAATGTGGGTAAAGTAGCACATCTGAAACATAAATTGAAGCCACCACAATCATCTTTACCTTTGCAATGCAGATAATACCCAATATACAAGTCACAACCTTCACACCTCACTGTTAATCCATCAATAAATAGAAACAACCAATGTGGATGACTTTTATGTTTAAACACATCAGAAATCGAAGCACACAGTACATCAATCTTGAAGTTGAATTTACTATTAGTATACATGAAACCAGTGCAATAACGTCCACAAACAGCACAAGAAAAATAGCTTTTCCAGTGCCTCATAAAATGCGGCTGAACTTTGGGGAACAAAGTAAGTTTTTCTATGCAAAGGAAATACCTTTTCTTACGAGGGAGATTAGCGCCTGCATCATGAAGAATAAAATCACATTGTGTACATTTGTAACCCAACTCAGAATTTATTGTGCATGCATAACAACTTTTATCTTCCTCACAAGGTAAGGCATCTTCGTCAAATCTTAATGATGATATTGATGACACCTTCAGATTGTGTTCGTGGCTAAAATGTTTTATTAGGTCTTGATCTATCACTTCGAATGGCTTACTTTCTTCTTTTTCATCTTTTTCGGGTATCCCTTCAAGTTCTTGCTTATCCCAATAGCGAAAATATCTCACACATTTTGAATGAGCAACATAAGAGCAAACCAAACAAGAATATGCTCCACAATTTCCATTAACATCCTCATAACATATCTCGCAAGTCCACTTCCCATGACCAATAGGAAAGACATGAGAGATGCGGTGGTCGTGGCGGCTGATGTGTATAACACGTGGTAAGAAGATGCATTCTCTATGGATTTTGAAACAACACTGAAGACAAATACACGGGTAATTAGTAGTGCATAACCCACATGCATCACAAGTGAAGGAAAGTTTCATTGGTAGTTGGTGGAGTTCATGCTCATGAATCTTAGTGGGTGCGAATATCAGAGGTTTTCTCACACAAAAGACACAAATAAAGAAGGAACACTGTAAACAATGATAAAATAGTGTAGAATCCAAATCGTTTTCACATAGACAACAAGCCCAAGGAGAACCATCTCGCTGCCGATGATATGTGAACTTGAGAGGATGTTTATGACGAGAAGGAATGTTGACGCTGATGCATTCCTCGTGGACATAAAATTCGCACAAATCACACTTGTAGCCTTGTTTGTAGCCACATAAAAATGAATTGGTTTTTTTTTTGAATATTTTATAGCTAACTTAGTTTAGTTTCTCTACAATTTTTTACTATCAACAGTACAAAATTTTACAAGCGGCTAAGAATTAATTTTCGTAAATATTTTTTTTTTTGTTGAGAAAATTAGAAATTTAGGACAATTTCCCAAACCATTTGTTTTTTTAAGATTTACTAGCTTAAACATTATCCTTGTAAAATTAATTTTAATTAAATCCTAAAATTACCTTTAATTTTTTTTTTCATTCTAGTAATTTTTGTTTAGTTTTTTTTAAATTCTGCAAAACCTTAAAACCTTATTCGCTGGAGTTGAAGACGACTTCCATATTCTAAGGGTTTGAATCACGCATATGTATACCCGTCGACACATACATATAAATACCCTTATTTGTTCTGCGTTTCTTTCTTTGCGTGTGCTGCTACTTTCATTTTGGCGTGAAATGACTATGTTCCTCTCTGTGTAAACCGTTTCTTCTTCGTTTTGGAAAGCCATATCACCAACGCTCACCAGATGTTTGATCATTTGTCCCAGTGACCAGTGTGAGTAGGCTTTCTGATTGTTATTATTCATTTATTTTGAGGTTCTCATTGTCATAACAGAGAGATGTTTTCTCTGAGATTTTCGAGCTCAGCTAAGCTCACCCACTCCATAACTATTGCTACAGAATCTGTAAACTCCTAATACTTGTCTTTTATGGATTTGCGTTAGGTTTTGTTCATATATAATCTTACTCTGCCAAGGTTTTGCTTTATGAATATGAGACTTTATGCACATTCTTACAAGAAACAAGATTTGTCATCATTATTTTCTTGATTAGTATAGCTTGTAGGATTGTAATCAAGTTACTAGAGTGGGAATCAGCTGACACGTGGGATGATGTGTTCACGTTCTTCTTTATATATAGTGCTCCATGCAAATAGGCGACTCATCTAGACAATTCTTATCACCAAACAAATTAAATTCGTTTATTATTAATGTATTATTATTTTACTTCTCTGTTCAGTCCAAGTTGAGAAGTTAAAATGTGTCTGACGTGTGTTTGAATTGCAGGAGCAACTAGAGAAGAAGAAAGCATAGTAAGCAGAGAAGATGAAGAATAAGGTTGTAGTGATTCACAAGAAATCCAAAGAGAGGAGAAGATATTCTTCAAGCAGAAGAAACTACTGCTAAATACAGAACCACTGGAATTGCAAATAGAATTTCAAGAGTTAATCAATTTTAAAGTGTAAACATTCGTTCTTATGTCTTCGATGGCTTGTAATCGTGTTTGTGTACTGTTCTTGTGTCTAAAGACTACATAGTGAAAAATTTGTCCATTCTTTTACTTATACAATTTTCTAAAGCATTGTCAAATCATAAATAGGAGACCTTTTTGGTGATCAAGATTAAGTTGAAGTCCATATCACCTGCATCACAATTCCTGTGTTTGATAACAGATATGTTTGATAATAGATATGTGGATTTAAAGTCGTAGGAACATAAGATAACTATGTACATATACTTTCTGTTTCTAATGTTTATGGAAATTACTGAGCTGAATGAGCTCCATTTATTTGGTATTATGATTTGAAGGTAGCCGATTTGTTGAAGAAGAAATTGTCTTTCATCAAAGTGTGAGAACATAGCGGAAAGAGCAAACATAGAAGAAAAAAACGTTGTGGAAGAGAAAAAAAACATGGAAATAAAAAAGAAAGTAAATATTTGGAAAATATTTAGTTTGGTGGATAAGCACATGAATACTAGATTTTCTCAGATTCTGTTAACGATTTAATAGAATACATGTTCTACATTATGTTGAACAAAGAATGATTACTAGAATACACATTCTAGTAAAATGTAGAACGTAATGAAAAATATAGAAAATGTATTCTACAAATTGTAGAAAGTAGAATGAAGAAAAACATGTAGAACATCGATTCTAGGTTTTGTAGATTGTATAGGAATGTATAGAAAACATATTCTATAAAACCATAGAATGTAGAATACGTTTTCTAGGTGTTGTAGAAAATAATTTTTAAAATTTAAAAACTTTCCATAACTAATTTTCGGTAATTAGTTTATTTCTTTATTTGGCATTTTTGAATTTTTCTAAAAAAATTATACATTAAATTTGAATTTCTGAAATTAATGTAATCATTAATTAAAGGGTAATTAAGTCCAAAAATGACAAAAATTCAAAAATCTTATAGAGACAATTGTTTGTAAAATGTGTCCTAAATTTACAATTCTCCCAATATTTTTATTTGTGGAAGCTCTTTTGACTCAATGGTTGATCAAATGTTTACTAGTATTTTAGACAAGAAATCTAGCTTTAATTTGGATCCTCGAGAATGTGATTAGGTTTAAGGGATTTTTGCTAAAAATAATCTAAAATTTGATTTTGAAAAAGTAGACCCCTGATGCAACATTTAGCAAAAATAACCTAAAATGGTAGTGAAAAGACAATATAATTCTGTATGACCAAACAAAAAAAACGGATGTCATAATTACTGTTTAAACCCTGACGAAGTCTACTTTAAACTATTAGAAGTCTACTAGTAGACTTCTAAATAAAGTTTATGAAGTCTACTATGTAATTAAATTATAAAATTTAATTTTAAAAATAATAAAAAATAATATTAGTTTTAAATTTGCAGTCATAAATTAGATATTGGTAACCCTATTGCATATAAATTATTTTTTCAGAATATAAGTTAAATTTTATGGTTTCAAATTAAGAAGAACAAAATATTTAATTTAGTGTTTATATTTGGTAGATTAAACCGAATAAATTAACCATACCAGAAATTGAACCGAAATTAAATCAACAAGGAAATCTACAAAATCGAATAAATTAACTTAACCGATATTTAAAATCAAATTGAACCAACGAATTTATGAGATATTAAACCAAAAATGTTATCAAACCGAAATTAATTTCTTGTGTCAATGAAAATTAGGTTCTAAAATTTAATTAAACCAAAATTGAACCAAAGAAATTTAACTTTTCCAAAACCGAAATGAAAATTAGGTTTTTTATCCTACTATATAAACGAACTATCCCTAATAAATCCCTAAGTCTATCCCAGACATGCTCTCTCTAAAACGGCGCTCTCTCTTCTCTCTCACCATTTTTTTTTGCTTTTCATTCTCTTTGTGAAGCTATAGAGAAGCATGGTTGCTGTACGAAGCTCTCGTGAAGGAGCTGAAGAAAGAAGATTCAGGCGAGCTCAAGATCTTAAGCAGTCGTGAAGGAGTATTGAAGAAGATGACTCATCTTAGTCTCTTACCGAATCTCGCCGCTCCTCATAGTCTCTGGTGTGAGGTAAATCATCGTTACTCCTTTTTTCCTCTTTAAACCCTCTAAATATCTGTTTTTTGTAGATCTTAAAATCTGTTTGGTTTATTTCCTTGTTGGCTTTTTGGACGAAGCTATTGCATTTTAGCTTACACGTGTTGTTTCTGATAGATGGCTTTCGTGATTTGGTCTCTCCATGGATTATAAAGTTTTCGCATTTGGTGCTGTTATTTTTCTTCATATATCTTTACTTCTTTTTTTAAAAAAATCGTATATCTTTACTCCTTGATATCTGGCTTCAGTGTCAGTGTGTCACAACCACACATGATTTCTCTATTGATAAAGAAATACGATCTGCTGAGTCTTGCCTTTGTAGCAGAAGATTGTTTATTTCATGTTGTTACTTTCTGTGCTAGTTGAGTCTGTTTAGATATCTTCATCTTATTTTCTAATTTAAAAGTTTGATTAAGCTCAGATATTTGTCGTTCCATTATTTTCCAAGTTTTTTTATTGGTATTTAATAACCTTTCGATGAAATACTGAGAGTATGTATATTTTTTTTTTTCAAGAAAAAGTGAAGACAAAGCATCCCCAGCTGCCAAAAACTCAAAACCTGTCTCACACAGGTGGACCAAGCAGAGACGCTCCAGCAGGGCAGGTGTTACCGCAGAGGAAGACTAATGATGATGCTTGTATCACTGAACTATACCATTTACATAAAATTACTTTTGTAATATTTAATTTCATATACATATATAATTGGAATCTTTTTTACAATCTTTCGGTCACCGTTAAAAAATTTAGTCTTTTATTTTCTTTATTCAAAATCGTTTGTTCATGTTGGTAAGAAGATGATCCAAATGTTAGGCCATGTGATTGATCCAAATGTTTCTTCTTTTAGTGTGGATGTAGAAGATGAAAAGATCACTTTAGTTTAGTGTAAAAACAAAACTGAAGAAGTAACAAAAGTAGATTTGGTAATAACAAACCTGAAGTACTAACAAAAGCTTGAATTTTACATTTTAATTCAATGTCATTTGAAATGAAACCACATAAGAAGCATATTAATAGACTTCAAAATTTTGTTTGAAGTCTACTCAAAAAGTTAACTCCACCAATTCAGTTTTTTTTTTGTCTAAATTATAATTATCTTGTGTCATTTTAGTAAGTTCAACAAATGTACAATCATCACTCAAAAAACAAAAAAAAATTCTACCTCCTTGACCATTGCTATTATCCACCACAAAATGTCACAATTTCTCTTTCATCTTCAATTTTAGTAAACAATAAATATTTCAATAATTATCTGTAATAAAACACACAAATAAACCGTATTAGAAAACAAAATTGCGAACCAAATTCTTGTAAACACATAAGAAATGAAAATTTTTGATCAAGGAGACTTCGTCTGCAGACTTCATCCGTAGACTGCAGATGAAGTCTACTCTTCCAAGCTAACTAGCTATTAAATCAAGAAATTTGATTCCACAATAAATATCGACTTATCACAAATGAAACTTATTGAGTAGTTAAACCAGTTCGTAACACACATTCCAAAACCAAAAAAATACATAAAAAATTTATATATATTATGTAATATTGTTTTTAAAATAATGATACCAAGCAGACTTCGTGTGCAGACTTCATCCGCAGACTTCTGTAGAAGTCTATTTTGATAAGCTAAGTAGCTTAAAAATCAAAACTTCTGATTCAACAATAAATATCGAATGAAATGAAATGAAATTCACTGGGTAGTTCAATTACTTACTAAAAAGCATTTCTAATCCAAAAAATATAAAAAAAATACTTTATAAATTTGCCTAAAACGCATTTTTTAAAAAAACTGCAATAAGTAGACTTCTACAGCAGACTTCAAACGTAGACTGGAGGAGAAGTCTACTTTTTCATAGTGAAGTCTACTAAAGAAGTCTACTAAAAAACATGTTATTTTTGCAATTGACCAATCCGTTGACTTTTCCTTCAGTAGACTTCAGAAGTAGACTTCCAGCCAAAAATGTTACTTTAGCATTTGACTGATACATTGACTAACAAAGTAGACTTCTATTGTAGACTTCATGTACGAGTAGACTTCTCTGACAGTCTACTTTTGAAGTCTACTTTTGAAGTTTACTTTTTCAATAGAAGTCTACGGAAAAAATAGGTTATTTTTGCAATTGAATTTTTTGAGTAGACTTCACTGTGAAGTCTACTTAAAAAAAGATTCCTTCTAAGTTTGACCGAAAAATATAAGTAGACTTCCCAAAGAAGTCTACAGTTTTTAGACTTCTTTCTGAAGTCTACTGCAGTTTTCCGGAGTTTTATGAATTTTTTATTTTTTAAAAAACTTTAGTCAAACACTAAAATGACCTATACGTTTTTGGTCAAACTACAAAAGTAACTTAAAAATAGACTTCTTGTGCAGACGTAAACAGTAGACTTTAGAAAGAAGTCTACATTAAAAAGTCAAAATACGGTCAACTACAAAAATAACCTCTTTTCTTTCGTAGACTTCTTAAGCCTTCAAATGAAGTCTACTATGTTTTTTTTTGTTTTCAAAGGATATCGAGTAGACTTCTCGTGAGGTTTAATGAAGTCTACTTTTAAAAGTCAATTGCAAAAATAACCTTATGTTGACTAGTAGACTTCAGTATACTTCACGAGAAGTCTACTTTCGCGATATGAACTGAAATATGGAGAAATTGAAGTGCGACGATTACCTTTAACAAAATTGAGCTCGGCTACAGTTCTTTTAAGCACCCAGAACTCAGGATTTCACCAAAAATAAGCAACCCAGATGTTAAGTAACCAGAAATCACCAAAAATGCATGACTTTTGGCATTGTAACTTAGCCCAGATGTTTTGGAGAAGAAATTATGAAAGAATGAGGAAGGTTATGAGTGAATGAGCTCAAATCTTTACTTATTACAGCTTTTAAAATTGGTTGAGAAGCATTTATTTCATTTTCATGGTTGTTCATAGTGGTTGAAGAAATTGAAGAAGATGGCATTCTCGTAATAAAAAAGTTTTTAGAAGTTCCAAGGAGACTTTAGCCAAATTAAAGAAAAATCGAAATAATAGATGTATAATGGCATTTTCGTTAATAGTTTAAGTGGGAAGGATAAAATTGTGAGAAAATGGCAAAAGTTGGAGAGAGAAAAAAAAGAGGTTAGTTTGGTGTTTGACTTTGAAATATGGGTTAAATCTGAAACTCTTCCTAGGTTTAATTCGGATTCTCGAGGATGTGATTATAACCCGATATGAAGATTAGATGGAAACAAATTTATAGGATATAATCAATGTAGCTAGAATTGTATGGCATAAATGCATATAATGTAATAAAATTGTTTGCTGTAAAATCGTTGATGTAACAATTCTCATATTTTATTAAAAATAGTTTTCATCACTTAAAAATGAGTTTTTGGATATGTTTCCGACGGATTACCTAGTTGATGGTAGAAGCAACTGAGTTTGATTACCTATCCCACTAGCTAACCTATTAGAAAGTCCTGATGAATTTCTCTCCTGAACTGTTGTAAGCTACGTGTTCTATTAAATGAAAGTGTTGCTAAAAAAAGGTTTTTGTTTTTGTAAGTGGATGCTAAAGAAAATAAAATGGATAGTGGGGAAAAGGGAAAACATTTTTCACCTTTAAAATGAAGTTATTGATGGTTATATAATTCTTCACTCGCCAAAAATCTTAAGGAAAAAGGATCCACAGAAGAAGAAAAAAAAACTATACTAACTACTATAAGCGATCGATCCAAGAAATTTGTATTCTTTAGGGCTCTTTACAAAGTTAAGATGAGTCTAAATTCTTCTACAATGCAAATTGGTATTGATAACTTATAACAATTTGTTCACAAATTAGTAGGATTTCTAACCTTGTTGTTCCTTCTCAATTAGGACTTCTACTTGAGTAGTGAGAAGTTACAATCATTGAGCATAGTGAGATTTATATAAAACTAAGAAATTTCATATGGTACATGCTCGTCACAAGAGAATTAGACAGTCTAGGCAAGGCGTACTAGTCTCATCCTTTGCTCTTCAAAATAAAAGCTGCAACTTGGAGCTAACATATTTCTTTCGCATGTCATTGAAAAAGATCAGATGAAAAAATTTGTATCAGGCAACTCTCTAAGACAAAAAGAACGAGAATGATATTAAGAACTATTTGCAAACAAACTTTTAACCCTATGCAGCCCATGCGGACCATACCTCCTCCACTGTCCTTAAATTAATTTGTCAGTTAGCTAGCAAATTATACAAAAAGGAAATAAGTAAAAGGCACTTAAGTGTTCAACAATGAAAATTAAAATTTACAACAAAAAAAAAAAATATTTACAAATCAATATACCAATAACACTCCTCATAAGTAATTGCAAGCCTTAGCTAAACAAAACTAAAAAAATAGTGTTTTTTCTTCTAAAAGTTGACCTTTCCATCAAAACTCTGTCCATTACATCCCCAAGTTGGCGGTGTCACGTCCATAAAGTCTTTCGTAATGCCATCACTTGTTGTGATCCTAAACGATAAGCATTGTCCGGTCAACACAACACCAGAGCTCCAAATCTGTCCCCAATTCTTCTTCATGGTTATCCACTCGGTCTTGGTTCCCTTAATCTGCATGGTCTTGATATCTCCGGCTCCTCCTACATTGTACGGCAAGATCATTAAGAAATGAGGGTTCCCCTTGATTTCAAACTTGACACCACCGGTTTTGGCGCAAGGAACACGCCTGTATCTAACCGGGACAACCCCGGCTTTGTATTTGGCGATCTTAAGGAACATTGGTTGGGAGAGATCAAAGTGTTTCTGTGGCGGGTTGCACCAGTTGTCTTGAGTCTTGCTGAAATCTGGTGGACAGAAGTTTGTAGCTGTGATCTTGATGGTTCCGGGCAAACACCATTGTGGTGCATTCACGCACTGGATCTCGTAACAAGCTCCACATGTGTATCCGTCGTTGAATAGCGCGGTGCTTAGTGCTGCTGTGGCTAGACCATAACCTTGTTTGTGTAAATCACCATATCCACAAGCTCCCTCTATCCAAATATAAAATGAAAAAAAAAAGTGAGTATGTATTATTTTTTAAATCCCCAATTCGTTTGTTTAATTAGCAATATATAGAATAACTGCATACTAAGCTGAAAAAAAAAATCATTTTTTTTATATAGGGACCCCATATTTGGTGACCCTATTCAAATGTTTCAATTCAATGGGCTCAATAGTAACGTTTTCTAAATTTTGTTTATGTTAATGTAAATGCATACGTAGAACACACAAAAAAAAAATAATAAACAGAAAACTATGTTGGCATTTGCATTTCTATATCCCAAAAAGATTTACAAGAAAAAAAAAAAAATCTTCTAAAGAGATTTATAAAAGATATATAGGTCGTTTTCAAAGATTGAGTCTCGTTTACTATGTGTTCATGTTATTGTTGGCTAATGTATAGTTCCTAAATAGTAACAACAAAACCTTCACATCTCAATTAGAGGTCTTGAAACTAACGTTGAGTTTCTCCACCATTGATGTCACCGTAAAAGGTGGCACGAGCGTCATGCCAACCGGATTCGGGTGCGTCTGTTCCGTCGCCACCATTTGGTGGGTTGGCTCCATCACCAGCCACGGATTCATGACCAGGCATCGGCACGTTGTCACCATGACCGTAAGTCATGGGCATGGCCCATATCACCATTAACATCATCAAAACTTGTGCATACACAAATTTTTCTAAGAGTTTCATGATTTCAGATTTTATTCGTAGTTAATTAAAAGTTTCTTAATTTTGATTGAGAACGTACGCAAGAATATAGGTTATATAGAGAGATAAATTATGGGCTTCTCGATGTTTTCGGGATTCAATTGGATTTCTACGATGTTGCTGACACTAGGACAAAGTTTGTGGCTTCTAGACATGCTTAATTAATTGGTCCGGGACTATTTTTTTTTTTTTTTAAAAGAATTTTTTCTTCTCTATAGTTTGATTTTTTTCCCCCTTGTTTGGTCTCTAAAACACAACGTTCTATATTTTTTTTTCTATTTAGTTCTAGTTTGATCTGAAAATTTAAGTTTAAATTATCATCAACAAAAAATTAAGTTTAATTGGCCACATAAAAAAAGTCGGATTGTGTGAACCAAATAAATAACCAAAATGCCGTGTCAAATATAAACAAATATTTTCCAATTTCTTGATTCTTGGTCCTGGACTTAACATACAAATTATAGATTTAATGTTTAGACAAGTTTATAAGTTTGTAATGAAAACCAGAGAAACACAGACGTATGTAACACACACTTGGGAATGCAAAAACCTTTTGCCTTTGATTAGAAATCACTTAGACAATCTCTTCAAGACTTGTCTAATCAGAATTACACGACCTTGCACACTGCAATTCGACACTGACCAATTCCTAATCTACCCAAGTCCCACACAACAACAGTTGTGTCACACTAGCCTAGTTCGCTCACCAAGAACCCTAATCGCTCTCACTTAGTTTCTTGTAAGCTCTCAATACAATCAGTGAACGGCCAACCCTTCCCTAGGTCTCTTTCACATATATATATATCCCCTTCCTCTTCTGAGTTGGCGAATATACTCTTTCCCTTGCTGAGATCTTCAACGATCCTCCATATCTTCCATCTTGTGATTCGACTTGCTCCTCACGTAATCTTTTTCTTCAACTCCAATCAGCTGATGCCACGTTGCTCCTGATGCTCTCTCTCTTTACCGCGTCTTCCTGTTGTGTTACACATCGCGTCTTGGTGTGTCATACATCGTCCAGAATCCTAATCTTACATTCTCCCCCTTTTTGTCTGAATGTGTCACGTCAAGCTTCTTGCAACAACACAACATTAGAAAAACAAGGAAGACCCACAAAAACACGGACAAAAGAAACGAGATCCAAATGCAAACTCAAGATGCCATTCCAAAAACCACACAAGACATTGTTCAAACAACTGTCAACCCAATAGACCATGTTTCACAAAACAGGTGACATGCTTAACACAGTATCAGAGCAAAACCACATTCACTCAGCCCTACTCTCAATCACTCTCCTCGCTCTCTTCATCATCTCCCTGCTGCTCCCCCTCAGTGTCCGACTCCTTGTCCTTTGCAGCATTGTCCCGTGAGCCATATTCTCCCCCTGCTTGAGTGCACATTTAGAACAAAAACATTCAAGTAAGACATGCAGCAGATCAGAACACTTACCTTTGAGACGCAGTTGGATACGCTTAATCCATCGTGCAAGCTGATCCAAATCAGCTTCCAGAGAAGGGAGAGGCTCGGATTCCTCGTCATCGGAACTTTTTCCAGCTTTCTTGTCCAGTGTGATCTTCAGAGGAAATCCTTGGAGCGGCCGATCACCACGATGACCTGGGATCATCTTCTGAAATTTCAACATCTGAAAGATCAGATTTGGAAACATCAGCTTGAGATTGACATGCTCAGGCATACGAGCTATGGCAATGATCTGTTCATACACCAGAAGACCAAGGTTGAAACGTCGGCCTTGGATGAGAGAAGCCACAAACTTGACTCTGTCTTTCACCATGGTGGTATAATTGGTAGTGGGAATCCAATTACGACAACAAAGCTTGTACAGAACCCCATACAGAGGTTGAAGATGTTTGGAACCAAAACCCTCCCAACGATTCTTCCGGCCTCCGGACACAAAACGAACAGCCTCATCAATATTCATCTTATCCCATTCACCAGATGGCAGATCTTCCTTGAGCAGGAACATGTGATTGATGATGTAAGGTGTGAACTCGTACATCTGTCCCTGAATAAATCAAATAAATCCCATTGCGATATTCCAAATCCGGCACATTCGCATAGAACTCGTGGACCACAATCGGGCAGTAAGGATCCACAATCGAGCACTGTGTAAGTCAAATCCACTTTTTCCAAGATACCTCGAACCCTATCCAGCTTGTGGTCGTCCAGTGGGAGAAACTTCTGGTCATGAAAGGAGCGAAGACGCAAGGAATCATACCTGTCCCGAGCCGCAGCAGAAGCAAAGTTGTCTCGCGAATACCGCAGAGGTCGAGTGAGCTCAGGATGCATGTGGTTATGAATGACAGTTGCCGCTCGACGCGGTACCGTGTCTCATGATCCTCATATGACGCACAAACTTTCGCACGGTCATCATCGGAGCCACCAAACATCTCCTCGTCACTGGATTGCGTGAACGGATTGGAGAACAGATCTCGAGGATCTTCAAAGTGAGCCGGTGCATGAGAGGAAACACCAGTGTGATGGTTACTCTCATCGCTGCTGTTTTCTTCATCGGAGATGACTACTTGTTCCTTCCCCGAACGCTGAACAGCTTTCTTCTTCTCAGAGTGGCGACGAAGAGCAGAGGCAAGAGTGTTGGAGTCCGTAGGTTCCCGGCGAGAAGCTTCGATGGCAGAGACCATAAGCTTGGATGATTGAAGTCTGGTGTTACGGGGCATTGTCGTGGAGATTGAAATCGGCGAGGAGAATAGAAATTCCCGATGAGTCGCACACAGTTAAGGTTTTGTAGCACACCAAACGTCAGCTGACCCTAATTAACCAGCGGGAAACCAAAACAAACTGGAAAAAAGCATTAGCCCAACAACAAATGGGCTGAAAGCCCAAAAAGGATTCCTCATAGATTTCACACACCCTTATAAGTTGCGTCACACACATGCAAATCAATTTAACACACAGGAAAATAAACACAGGACAACACATGGAGAATCTCATTAAGGGACCCATGACAGTATCCAGCATGCACATCTAGGCACCAAAGATGAAAAACGGACAAAACACTTCACTTATGTACAGAGAGCTCGAGGTGAAGAACAATGTAGAAGCACATGTGAACACACAAAAAATCAACCTGAGAGCAAAATGGTGCAGCCACTCCTTCAGCCGAAGTGCTTTCACACCATTAGTTATTCACAAACAATCTTCCTGCTTCAACCTGTGCAGAGAACCTGACATCCGTAACTTAAATCACCCAAGAGTTCAAACCGAGTGTCCACTCCTTCTTCAGACCATGAGAAACTATACCTTGATGTATACAACGGACTAACACTCTCCACTCTGAGACCCTATACTCTTTTGTGCTGCATTCCCTCATCTGAGGAGCATTCACACGTTTCTTTCAGGAGATAAGGTAATCATGTTTCTTTTCACATTGTCAAGACCTTTTAGGGTACCCAGAGTGTGGTGTTAGCACGCGTTGTCATCACCATTGTCTATCCATTGTGCTGCCTTCCCTCAGCTGAGGAGCATTCACACACTTCAGAAACACGTTCAGACTGGTATAGTGTAATATCTCTAGTTGCTCGGTCCTTACTCATAGGTGATTTTGGCCAATCCTGTCAGTGATCAGTGCCAGATGTGAAATGTGTCAGCATCTCAATCCTGCATGAGTGACAATCCTTTTGGCAGGACATCATAGCTCTCCATGACCTGGTATCCACAAACAAGATTTCCTGAAACAACTTGCTCAGCAGGAGGTGTCAGTAGCTTGTACAAAAAAACGATTATTTACATTTCTACATCAGCTATCACCTCGACCAGAGAATCTATTGCTCACACACACCCAAAGCCTTCCGCAAATAGAAAAAGGTATTGAGATCGAGCGGTTTAGTGAATATGTCTGCAAGTTGGTGCTCAGATGCTACATGCTTGATGATGACAAGTTTCTCCTCGACTAAGTCTCTCACAAAGTGATGCCTAATGTCTACATGCTTAGTGCGTGAGTGTTGGACATGGTTTTTTGTGAGATTTATGGCACTTTTGTTGTCACAATGCACAAGAAAAAGGGTCATTATGAATACCGTAATCAGCGAGCATTTGACGCATCCACAACAGCTGTGTGCAACAACTACCAAGAGCTATGTATTCTGCTTCAGCCGTAGAGAGTGAAACACAGTTCTGCTTCTTGCTATGCCACGATATCAAGTTGTTTCCCAAGAAGAAACACCCTCCAGACGTGCTTTTCTTGTCATCAAGACACCCTGTCCAATCTGCATCACAGAAACTTGCAAGATTTGTGTTAGTCTCAGTGGAGTAGAAAATCCCATAGTCTAGTGTACCTCGCACGTATTTAATGATACGTTTGACTGCAGACAGATGAGATTATCGGGAACTTGCTTGATAACGAGCACACAGCCCGACACTCAGACAAAGATCAGGCCTGCTTGCGGTCAGATACAACAGGCTCCCTATCATGGCACGGTACAGCTTTTCACTCACAATTTGCCCTTCTTCATCTCTTGACAGCTTTCTGGTTGTGCTCATGGGTGTTTTGGAAATCTTACAAGTTTCCATCTCAAACCTCTTCACAAGATTGCGAGCATAAGTACTCTGTGAGACAAAAATCCCATCTTCTGATTGCTTCACTTGAAGTCCAAGAAAGTAGCTCAGTTCTCCAACCATACTCATCTGAAACTCCCTTGTCATAGTTTTGACAAATTTGTTCACTAGATCTTGATGTGTTCTGCCAAAGATAATGTCATCAACGTAAATCTGAACCACCAGCAGCTGTGACCCCTCGTTTTTGAGGAACAAGGTCTTATCAACACTGCCTCTCAGGTAGTCAGCATCAAGCAGGAACTGAGTTAAGCGTTCATACCACGCCCTGGGGGCTTGTTTTAGGCCGTACAAGACACGTTTCAGCTTATAGTCATGGTCGGGAAACTGCGGATCTTCAAATCCCTTAGGTTGGGACACGTAAACTTCTTCCTGTAAGATACCATTCAGAAAGGCACTCTTTACGTCCATCTGGTAGAGTTTAATCAGCAGCTTGCAAGCAATCCCGAAGAGCAAACGAATGGACTCCAAGCGAGCAACTGGTGCAAAGGTTTCATCAAAATCTATGCCTTCTATCTGTGAGTAACCCTGAGCAACCAGTCTTGCTTTATTCCTGATCACGTTCCCGTCCTCATCTGTTTTGTTCTTGAATATCCACTTAGTGCCAACAACATTCACATGAGCTGGTTTTGGGACTAGATCCCATACCTCCAGCTGAATAAACTGCTCCAACTCATCATGGCACGCTGCAACCCAGAACTCATCATCAAGTGCCTCATTCACTGTGTGTGACTCAGTAAGTGATATGAAGCATGCAAATTTTGCCAGTTCCTTGAAGTCTATTTTCTTTCCTCGTGTTACTCTTCCATCATGCACATTACCAATCACATCTGCCAGTGAGTGATTCCTATGAACGTGCGGTCGTGTGTCTCCCACATCTTCTTTAACGGAAATGTCCTCATCATGTATTTCCTCTGTGATCTGTTCTTCATCAGGTATCACTGTGTCACACACAGATGTGGGAATGACTTTCTCAGCAGAGTAGCTACTCTTGTCGTCGAATACCACATTGACTGCATCTCCAATGAGTTTGGTACGTTGATTGAAGACTCTGTAGGCTTTTCTGTTTGTTGAGTAACCAAGGAACATACCCACATCACTCCTGGAATCAAACTTGCCGAGGTTGTCTTTATCATTTAAAATGTAGCACACACATCCAAACACATGGAAATAGCTGACATTAGGTGTGCGGCCATTCCAAACCTCATAAGGTGTTGTCTTGGTACCTGGTTTGACATACACATGATTGATGATGTAGCACGCAGTGTTAATTGCTTCAGCCCAAAATCTTGTAGCTACACTGTTACCGTGCATCATAGCTCTAGCCATCTCTTGCAAAGTTCTATTCTTCCTTTCAACCAATCCGTTCTGTTGTGGTGTTCTGGGTGCAGAGTACTGATGCCTGATTCCTTGACTATTGCAGAATTTTTCAAACAACTCATTCTGAAATTCACCACCATGATCACTCCTGATCTGGACAATGTTCCCTTTCTCTGTCTTTAACTGCAAAGCAAGAATCTTGAAGCTTTCAGCTGCTTCTGATTTCTCACGAAGGAATCGTACCCATGTATACCGAGAGAAGTCATCTACCAGAACAAAGATATATCTTCTACCTCCAATGCTCTTAGTTTGAACGAGACCCATCAAATCCATATGAATGAGATCTAGGATTTTGTTGGATCTGATTTTTGTGATAGACTTATGTTGCACCTTGATTTGTTTTCCTTTACTGCAAGCCTCACATACGGTGTTGCCTGGAGTTTCAAGATCAAGGACCCCTCTTACAGCTTCAGCCTTTACCAGTCGACTCAGCCCGTGAACATTCATATGCCCCATTCACTTGTGCCACAGTTCAATCTGAGATTCCTTTGCTGTCAAACATTTGTCTTAGTGACTCCACAGATAGCAGTTATTTCCAGACCTTATTCCCATCAGCACAATGTTACCATTCATGTCGACTTCCTGGCAATCAACCTGAGTAAAGATGACTTTAAGTCCTTCATCACATAGCTGACTCACGCTGATAAGATTCGCCTTGAGTCCTTGGACATAAAATACATTCAGGAGTTGAGGTTGATCCTCTCTTTCCAAGTTTCCAACTCCCTGAATTTTTCCTTGTCCACCATTACCGAATGTGACCTTACCACCTTTAACAGCATTTAATGAGTCAAACAAGCTTTGGTTCCCTGTCATGTGTCGTGAACATCCACTATCAAAGTACCAGGCGTCTCCTACATGCCCCTTGGATGAGGTATATGCAACATTTGCTACAGCTTCTGGTTCCTCAAAGTGAATCCGGGCTAAATTGCACACGACTTCCTCTATTACCTCTTCTGATTGGGGTGTGTCATACAGATCTTTCTTGGCAATCCAAACTTTACCAAAATGTTTAGGCTCGACGAAACACAGATGCCTTTTCCATGCATTTCTGATTTTGTTTCGGAATCTGTAGCACCTAACTTTCTTATGGCCTGGTCTGTTACAGAAGAAACAACAGGGTTTAGAGTGTCTTTTGCCACCTTGCGAAACCTTACTCTTAGCACCATCGACAGCAGCCTGAATCTGAGTGTGATGATTCAGGACTGATGGTGGAATGGCAATGACGTGATGTGAGATTTTCTGTGGTATATCAGCTGGAGGTTCTGTCAACTCACTCCTTGATGTGCTTCTATACACGAAGTTTGACATGTTCCCCAGCGTAGTGGTACTTGCACCAAAATCTCCAGTATATCCAAGACCCCAGTTCTTCTTCGATGGCAATCCCATTGACAGAATTTGATCCAGGTTCTCAGCACCCGTGTTAAGCATCCTGATCTTCTCCAACCTACTTGTCCTTCTCCTTCTCCAACCTACACACTTCTCTCAAGTTCTTGTGCTTGAAGAGTTATGCACTTGTCCTTCTCCAACCTACACACTTCTCTCAAGTTCTCGAGTTTACTTTCGAGTTCTATGTTCCTCTTCCTCTCAACTTCAAGAGCATCTGAATTAAGCTTTCCATCCTTGAGATCCTCCAACTTTTCAAGGACTTCTTCCACTGGATCTTTTTCCATCTCCAAAATGTTAATTTGAGCCTTCATTAAGGCTTTATCTTTAACCAACTGAAGATTTTCCTGACTCAGTTGAACCCAGTTCTCATAGAGTTTCCTGTATTCAACTTTTGCATCAAAGTCACCATCCTCATCTTCACTGTCAGATCCAGCGACTTCTTCGGGTTCCTTTTCAGCCTGTTCTTTTTCATCAGCCACAAAAGCAACAAAATTCAGCATCAAATCTTCTTCCTCATCGTCTTCATCACTTCCAGACTCAGATTCTCCTAAGGCAACTAAGGATTTGTCCCGAGATTTCAGAACAGTTGGACACTCGTTTCGTGTGTGGCCAAACTCCTTGCACTCTATGCATTTCAGCTCCTTTTGCTTAGCCAGAGGACACTCACTCCTGAAGTGTCCATATCCCTCACATTCATAACACTGCAAATCTTTCTTCTTTCCAGAACGCGCACCATCGGTGCGAGTACTTCGGAAGTTATTCCTCTCAAAGTCATTTCTTTGGCCTCTGATGTTCTTGTTCTGACCCTTCTCAACCCTCTTCAATATTTTGTTGAAGTTCCTGGCTAGAAGACTCAGATTTTCCTCAACTTGATTGACTCTTTTGTTTTCCGTTGCATCTGCAAATGCAATGTTTTTTTGCTTGGCTGTTTCATCAGCAGTTGCTTTCAGCTCTTCTGCCTTAAGCATACCCACCAGAGTGTCAAACTTCATGTCATCAGTGTCCATTGAGTACTTAACAACGGCTTTATGGGCGGCGAACTTTGGCGGAAGACACCTTAGCAGTTTTTTGACCAGTTTCTTGTCTTTGTATTTCCTTCCAAGGACAGCAGCTTCATTGGCAAGAGTACTCAGTTTCGTGGTGAAGCTTCCAACGGATTCATTTTTCTCCATTCTGAGATTCTAAAACTGTGATGCAAGATGATCAATCCGGGTTCTTCTCACACTGGTATCCCCTTCGAAATGATTCACCAGAGTATCCCATGCCTCTTTAGCTGAATCACATCCCTGAATGATACTGAATTCATCCAGATCAACCGCATCGAAGATTACTGAGATAGCCTTTAAGTTGAACTTCGATAGACTTTTGTCGACCTCAGTCCAAGTATTTTTAGGCTTGGCTATCTGTATCTTCTTTCCATCCTTGTCTTGTGATGCCACTGTAGGATAGGACCATCCTGTCTTAACTGCGGTCCAGGCATCCTCATCAATACTTCGAATGACATGTCTCATACGTGCTTTCCAGTGTCCAAAGTTTCCAGCATCAAGACGTAGTGGTTTATGAACTGCGATGAACTTCGTAGTCTCCATTTCTTCCTCAGGATCTTCACCTGTATATAGATATAGGTATCTAGAAGGTGATTTCGCTCTGATACCAAATGTAAAACCAGAGAAACAGAGACGTATGTAACACACACTTGGGAATGCAAAAACCTTTTGCATTTTATTAGAAATCACTTAGACAATCTCTTCAAGACTTGTCTAATCAGAATTACACGACCTTGCACACTGCAATTCGACACTGACCAATTCCTAATCTACCCAAGTTCCACACAACAACAGTTGTGTCACACTAGCCTAGTTCGCTCACCAAGAACCCTAATCGCTCTCACTTAGTTTCTTGTAAGCTCTCAATACAATCAGTGAACGGCCAACCCTTCCCTAGGTCTCCTTCACATATATATATATATATCCCCTTCCTCTTCTGAGTTGACGAATATACTCTTTCTCTTGTTGAGATCTTCAACGATTCTCGATATCTTCCATCTTGTGATTCGACTTGCTCCTCACGTAATCTTTTTCTTCAACTCCAATCAGCTGATGCCACGTTGCTCCTGATGCTCTCTCTCTTTACCGCGTCTTCCTGTTGTGTTACACATCGCGTTTTGGTGTGTCACACATCGTCCAGAATCCTGATCTTACATGTAAGAGTTTTTTTTTTAACTAAAAGAGACAAATCGTATATACACATCTTAGTTATTTAAAAATTTCTATTAAAATCAAGTACTTCCATATAGATTTAGAAACGTATTTTAAAATTAAGATATAGTTTTGGATATCCAAATCAATTAAAAAAACCAATTAAGGGGATTTATTGGAGTAAGGACTTTATTTCATTAGATACAAGAAACACAAACACAGATATCATACGTTTACAACGAGCATATGGCAACATTATATTTTAGAAAGCCAAAAAATACTTCAAGCCATTGAAATGAAAGACTTCAAAACCATTTTCTTTTTTTTTCCTCAACTAAATTGAGTATTTTTTTTTTTTTTGGGGAGAACGCAAAGGTTTGCTAGTGAGCTCTTCGTGCATGATGGAGCTCTCGTCAGGGGTAATATCGTCATTTCAAAACATTTCCAAGTGATTCTCCGTTTTACCCTTGCGTGTGATTGTATTCTTGCCAACCATACACCATTAGTTGGAGTGTCAAAGGGCAAAATCGGAAATACGTCTCCTATAAATTGCAGCATTTCTTCTTCTTCGTTGAAACTATCTTCCTTCTCTCCTCTTCCACCAAGAGAACAATTTCTTCACTGCTAATCTGCCAAGGTAATGCCGATCTCTATCTTCCTATAATATTTATGAGCATTGGAGATTCTTCTCGCAAAACTGTGGTTGATTGTTGACTACTCTCTCTCTCTCTCTCCGAATCGTTGATTGGTATCGCTCGCTCTCAGAGATCGGATCTGTCCGTTATTGAAATTCTATTTAGGATGCTCGAATGTATAGATCCTTTTGTTTAATCGTTATCATTTAGCAATCATCCTTGGTTTCTGGAGCTAGATTGTGTTTAGATCCGCTTGATTTTCGAGTAATTTTTCGTTTTTTTATTGGATGTGTTCGTCGTTTTCAGATCGATTCGTGAATGGTCTCTTGCTTGCGTATTGTAAGTGTTCGATGTTTGTCTTAGTCCAGATCTGATCTGTTTCTGATTTCGATTTTGATTCACAAATGTCGATCTTTGCAGAGAGATCTGTTGCTCTTCGTTCTTTATGTCTATAGAATTGGAATGAAATCTGAGTTTTGATTCGGAATTTTTGCAGAGAGAGTTTTAACAAAATGGTGAAGATCTGTTTGTATTGGAGCTGGATATGTTGGTGGGTCCAACAATGGCTGTGATTGCACTCAAATGTCCACACATTGAAGTAGCTGTTGTTGATATCTCCGTTCCTCGGATCAACGCTGGTACAGTGATCAGCTTCCGATTTACGAGCCAGGTCTTGAAGATATCGTTAAGCAATGCAGAGGCAAAAACCTCTTCTTCAGCACCGACGTGGAGAAGCATGTGAGAGAAGCTGACATCGTCTTTGTCTCTGTCAACACACCGACCAAAACGACCGGTCTTGGAGCTGGCAAAGCTGCAGATCTCACTTACTGGGAGAGTGCTGCTCGTATGATCGCGGATGTATCTGTCTCTGACAAGATCGTGGTCGAGAAATCGACTGTGCCTGTGAAAACAGCTGAAGCAATCGAAAAGATTCTGATTCACAACAGTAAAGGAATCAAATTTCAGATCCTCTCGAACCCGGAGTTTCTCGCAGAAGGAACTGCAATCACCGACCTTTTCAACCCTGACCGTGTCTTGATCGGAGGGCGAGAGACACCAGAAGGATTCAAAGCTGTTCAGACACTCAAGGAAGTTTATGCCAATTGGGTTCCTGAAGGTCAAATCATCACCACAAATCTCTGGTCTGCCGAGCTTTCCAAGCTAGCTGCAAACGCTTTCTTGGCTCAGAGGATCTCATCGGTCAACGCCATGTCTGCTCTTTGCGAATCCACCGGTGCTGATGTCACTCAAGTGGCTTACGCCGTTGGTACTGATTCAAGAATTGGTCCCAAGTTCTTGAACGCTAGTGTCGGATTCGGAGGTTCTTGTTTCCAAAAGGACATTCTGAATCTTGTCTACATCTGTCAATGCAACGGACTTCCAGAGGTTGCTGAATACTGGAAACAAGTGATCAAGATCAACGATTACCAAAAGAACCGGTTCGTGAACAGAATCGTCTCTTCTATGTTCAACACTGTTTCCAACAAGAAGGTTGCGATCCTCGGATTCGCGTTCAAGAAAGACACAGGAGACACAAGAGAGACACCAGCGATTGATGTGTGTAAAGGTTTGTTAGGAGACAAAGCGCAGATTAGCATCTACGATCCACAAGTCACTGTAGATCAGATCCAGAGAGACCTTTCGATGAAGAAGTTCGATTGGGACCATCCGCTTCATTTGCAGCCAATGAGCCCGACCACGGTGAAACAAGTGAGCGTGACCTGGGACGCGTATGAAGCGACTAAAGACGCACACGCGGTTTGCGTTTTGACAGAGTGGGATGAGTTCAAGTCGTTAGATTACCAGAAGATCTTTGACAATATGCAGAAACCGGCTTTTATCTTCGATGGAAGAAACGTTCTGAATGTTGACAAGTTGAGAGAGATTGGTTTCATCGTTTACTCCATTGGTAAGCCACTTGATGCTTGGCTTAAGGACATGCCTGCTTTTGTCTAAATGAGAAAAAGGTAATAACAATCTGTTCGATTCTTTCCTTTTGATCGTTTGTGCTTTTGCTTCAGTTTCATATAATTTTAGTCTCGAGACTCAAATTTGTGAAAGTCTTGAAGAGTTGTTTTTTTTTTTACAATTTACAGTGTTTTTCTTCTTATGTAAGCTCTGTTATTTTGTGTGTTTCACATTTTGTCAAGACTCAAAGAGACATATACTTGAATTGCGGTTACATCATTTTTGTTGTTTCTTTAGAAAGAAATAAATTCTTGTTTTTTTTTTTTAATTCAAAGTCAAGTTATTTGTCAATGTCTATGATTCAATTCTTACTTATTGCCATATTTTAGATTCCAATTTCTCGTAATTTGAGTAATAATTTGATTAAAAATCTCCATTTGTTTTTCTAACCAAGGTTTTTGGTGTATAAATCTCTTTAGATCGGATCTGAAAAACATCTCTAACCTCTTGAGTTCACCAATTTTTGTTTGCCAAAAAAAAAAAACTTTATTTCATGGGCCTTATTTCTCCAATACAATATACTATGTCTATAAGCTTTACTGTTGTTAAAAGCTCTAATACGATATACTATAAGCTTTATTGTTGTTTAAAGGTAGACAAAAATAAAAAACAAAAATGTTGTTTTCGGTGTGGATAAGATCTAGTGAGACACGACCAAAAATAATTCTAGTGAGTGTAATGGCTAAAACGTGGGGCAGAATATGCGAGTCCGTGCAGGTCGCAGAGTTGCATGCACGAAATCATGGTAACTCATAATTTTTTTTTTTTTTTGTTAAAATCATGGTAACTCATAATGTCATACTGAATAACTAGATTCTAACCCGTCCATTGGTGGGTGGGCGTGATTTTTGTTAGCTAAAATGAAAAATAAATTATAAGTTATATCCAATTAATGTTTAGTTCAATGTATATATAGAGTTGAATGTTATCGATAGAATGATATGTGGAGTTTAAACAACAATATGTGTGATGTTTATGATATGAAGATGTAGATTTTAAGTATATGTTAGCAATCAAATAGACAAATTAAAATACAAATTTTCTAAGTGTATATATAGTATAGAAAGCAAAATTGTTGATAGTTTTACAGATTTTAAACAATAAAAGCCCAACAATTTGTATTACAATCATTTGGTATGATAATTTACATTCTAGTTAAAAGCCCATCAATTTGTATCGCAAGATAATATCATTTCATATAATAAGGTGTATATAATACGGATACAATTTATCTAGTTAATAACTTAATTTTAATATTTATATCACATGATTCGTTATAATTTATTAACGATCATTGATAAATATTTAAGCAGATAGTAATTTAAATATTAAAATAAAATATGTTTACGGAAATTTCTAAATAACCATTATAAAAAGCCCACAGAAATTAATAAGTTCAAGATATTAAATTCATAACATAGATATAAGTAGGTGGACATATATCCTTTGAACGAAAAAGTGCTATAATGTAGACCGGTTTCATCTGCACATCTTAATTTCCTGGTTTGATATGCGACTTCTTCTCGGCCAGAACGAACCTGTTGATATAAATATGAATAATCAGCAACTATAAATTATGATTTCATTTAAAAATAAAGATAAAACAGCTTACATGTACGCAAACTCTTGAACTTCAGTTATCTCTGGGTTGAAAAGAAATCGAGATTGACCTCCTCCATTTCTAACAATGTGTTCACCTACAAAGAAAAATATAATTGTAGCATTTGACACCGTTATATACTTTGGTAGAAGTTCAGATACCAAATTAAATAATATTAATACATGGGGTATCTAACCTTTATAGAGATCAAGTCTTGACTCAGTTAACAGAACGAAAATGCGATCAGTCTTTCTCGATTTCCATGAATTATCAAAAAAAATTGCGCAGTTATCAAAGGCAAAACATTTGATAACAACATCCCTAAATTTAAAAGAAAACATAACACCAATGAATAATACATATAAAAATGAATTTGCATAACATATAGAAAATACACTTACTCGAGATCTCTTATATGAAATTCAAGAACGTTCTTTGGTTGGATTCTTGAAATGGAGTCAAAGTCATTGCCAATGGATATTTCACCAACAAAATCGATCACACCAACCAAGTCTATTTTTTTTAAAAAAAGAATAGAAGTTAAAATAACATTATGATTCCCTAACATATAACGGACTAATTATTATTAAGAACAAATAAACTAAATAAATCAATAATGAAAATAAAATATTACCAATAGGAAACACAGGATCCACTTTCCTCTTCAAAATATCTCCGAATTTGACTAAATTCAAGAAATACCAATTAGATACCGGCTCATCGCGTATAAAGTCAAGCGTGGTATCTCGAGTAAGAAGGATATTGTAAGGATGTTTAGTTGTGCGTTCTTTCCAACTGTTCCAGTCTGACGATCTGACAATAAAACTGCGAATTTCAAACCATTCTCCTTCGTGACATTGATTCTTGAAATATTCATGGATCCAGTTATGAGCAGACGCATGAATTTTACTGCCCTATAATGATTACAGATTGTAATATACAAAAACTATTAGGGCAAAACCTTTTACTTGCATGCACCAAAAATTCATCTAGCATAAAAGATCAACTTATTTACCTCTTCGTCGGCAAATATGAATTCGACACGATCCCGACCACGGCTGTCTTTCTCATTCCATTTTTTTGTAAATAACAACACGTATCACCGGATTTTCTTCCCATGGCGTAAGCTTACTAACTAAGTCATGGTAAGACATAATTCGAGAAGTTCGTGTTTTGGAATTTTGTTTGTTCTGTTAAGCAATAGTCTCTGAAATAGAATACAAATAAAGTGGAACCGTCTTCAAAAACGAAAAGGATAACTTCTTGTAATTAATTTTGGCAGAGGTTTGGTTTTCTTGTTAAACAACAAAAATAATGATTACACCTATTGTAGCAACTAATGACGTTTATATACATTGAATGCAACATACTTTTCTATATTGTATTAATTTATGACAATTTTTTTTTAGATTCATATTCCAAAATATATACATAAATATTTGTTTTCCTATGTTAGGACTGAAAGTATTTTACATGATATAGAATTTATATTTCATACAGGAGCAAAAATTCATTTTCACATTTAATACATTAGAGTTAATAGTATAATTATTGGTTATACATTTTAGATATCGAATATAAATCACTCGGATAACTGAAATAAAATAAGACTTAGTTCGTTATCATATGTTACGAGTGAAAAAGTAGTTTATGATTACAGTTTTTAGGTTATATCTTATATAATAACCGTTTGACACTTAACAATATAAAATTATATCAAATGACGACGATTCATTTATTATATTGGTTATCTTAAATTGAAATATAAAATGCATTGATCTCTAGTGTAATGATTACCATGCAGAAAAATAAAGTGTCTAGTATCTCACATATATAGCATCAGTGACAGAATGTATCTTACTATATGTTTTTTAGTAATTAATAAATAAAAAGAACAGACGAAGTTGTTACAGTTAATCAACAACAAAAATAATTAACATATACATTATATATTTCTATATTATAAAAGAATATCAAATATATATAACAAAATTAATGCATATGTATACTTCTAATTACAGGTTATTATCATCATCATATAATAAATCATATTTATTCAATTTATTATATGGTTTCATTACTATTGCACCCCAATCGATTACTGAGACAAATCATTACTATTGAAAAGTTAAAAAGCTGACGTTATGACTGTTTATTCCGTAGCATGCATACGCTTTGTAGTGCAGTTATGAACACCTGTTTTATATACGTTAACGTACAATATATTAATTGAACATAAATTGTAATTATATGTATGTGATCATTTGATTTTGAAAATAATAGGTATAACACAAGAGAGAATCGATCAGAAATAATTATATCGAGAAATTATAGCATAATAAGTTACCATAAAACAGAAAAATACAGAATCTAAATGATTAAAATTATAATTTTATCCTAAAAAAATACATCGTCTTCCCATCAAGCTTGTTTGGATAGCTGCAAATTAAATAAAAAGTTCTCATACATAAGCATATGGAGTTAAATAGATTCAAAATTAGACAGAAGTTAACTAACTTGAAAATTTCTCAATTTTTGTGACGACGGTAGACACAATAAATAATATTATATGAATACTCGTTGATGCTGAGTTGTCTTCACGGCTAAGGATTACTCCAAAATCTTCAATATCATACCATTGATTTTCAACCAGCAAACAATCAAAATGATTAATGAATTTTTTGTTCACTCGGGCTTCTATAGTATGTCCCTAACACAATACAAATAAAAAGTTTATGAGCAAATCTTATAATATTAGTTCAGTAGTATACACAACAAAACAATAAATTCATATAGTAAGCTATTATTGAAGTAACCTTTGGATCAGACAAAATAAGCATAAGAGTGACAACGTCATGTTGAATTCATTCCTTCCACTTCCGAACAATCTTAACTCGAATCTTCCAGTCTGAGGTATGAGTGTTCAAATCAGAAATGTAGTCGTAGCCAAACATAATATCAAACAATAGTAATTAGAACTTTACTGTATACCTTCTAAAATATTACTTAAATAGTGGTGAATAAATTTTTAATCTCCGACGATGTAGGATTTAGAGAATATAGGTAAGATACTCATGATAGTAAAGTGGATATTATAATAACAACGCCTATAATACTTAAGGAAATTTAAAAAATCACTGAATAATAGTAGAACATAGTTTGGAATTTATATGATATTGTTAAATATCGTACGAATAAATACTTAGATATATGTCATTTTAAACACTTATTACATTTAATACTATAAATATACAAAAATATTCCATTATAGTTGTACAAATACCTTAATGGTATTAATGAAAATATCTTATGTTTAAATTAAGTATCGATGAGTTATTGCATAAACAAACATTCAATTCTATACATAAGTATCGATGAGTTATTGCATAAAGAATGTCAGTTTATCATTAAAGCGTACAACAATATAATGAATTTGTTATATAACTACCTAAAGCTTTATGGGTTTATCAAATATATATTCATACAATATTGTATGGGCCAAATTATATAATTTGCGTTTACTTCTAAACATGGAGATGTAGGATATATGCGAAGATGATATATAAACAGACAGAGATGAAACTATAAGTAGTAAAAATATATTAAAAGAGTTATTCCATTTCA